CGGGTCAAGTAAGTGCCTTCGGGAATCGGCCTAATGGAGCTCGGCCATCGGCTCGGTTGGTAGCCGATCGAGCGCATCGCTCGCGTTCCTAGCCCAGACGAAAACAGCATCCCCCACCCGACCAACACCCAAACTGACCCGCCTCAAACCCGCACGCCAGCCCAAAATCCAACGCTGTTTAGCATCGACGGTCATCTCTGCCCAATGCGGCGGAAGGGGGAAACGACGGTGCGGGCGATTCGGGATGCGGGATGGATTGCCGAGCGGCGGAGGTGGCAGTGCTCGCTTCCATACTCGTGGCCTAGAATGCCCGCGCGCGTTTTCTTGCGGGGGAAACAAGACGCCGCAACTCAGGGTCCCCATGTGCAACGGCGAATCGCACGCCTCTCCAAACAAAGGCGTGAGAAGAGGCCGCACTAGTCTGCCTCGCTCTCGCTTCGTGCAAACCTAACGGGAATCGCCGCGTGGATAGGCACTGCCCACCACAACCCCCCATCCAGGCACCACCACTTGCACCACGCGCCCTTCGCCTACTTGTCGAAACGACGTCATTGCAGGCATGCTATTTCAATTTTATCCAGGCGAATATTTCCTCTCCCCCCCCTTTTTCCCAGCAGATTGAGTTTTGGCTCTTCGCTTACTGTAGCCGGTGCCTTATTTACGCACGACACACACTTGCAAGATATCTCTCGGCTCTGGCTGTGCTGGGCGATCAGGGCGAAGCGCACGTCTGTGCATCTCAAGTTTGGAGGCCAACGAAGCTCGACAGAGCGTGTTCGGGCTTGGTCTCGGCCGATTTGGACCACGTGGAGCTTGGGGAGCGACGGTGGGACGATCGCTCATCGTAGCGCGACGCCTAGCAAGCCGGATCCAGTTGAGGCTCGCTGCGGTGACCACAGGTATGGCGATTCTGGGGATCTAGGATCAGCGCTTCGAGTGGCTCGGCGTTGGAGAGCGGATTCGGAGTTCGCAAAGCGATACCAATCGGGGGGTGTACATGTTCGCAAGTCGCGTGTGTTGGCGAGAGTGAAGTTCAGGCCACGAGGAGGCTGGCCACGAGGAGGCTGGCCACGAGGAGGCGCACACAGGGTGAGTCGTGCATCGACCCCGATGGGCGTGCAGCATCCAATGCGAGCTTAGAGCCTCGACGAACGGCAGCGCTTCAAGGTCGGATGCATGAGGCGACTCGCTGTGCGCGATTTTGTCAACTCCGCTCCGCTCGTCGTCACCAAGTGTGACAACCACGCACGCCGTCGCCGACCCCCTCCATTCGCATTCAAAGACACCACCGCATCGTCTTCAAAGGCCGAGCGCGATGGCTGGGGTGCTCTGTCGATCGCTTTTCAACGTCCGATCCCGGTCATGGCTGCGTTTCAATTGATCGCGTGGCGTTATCGAAAGGCTTGCAGCTTGATCTTCCCAATGTGCGCAGAGATCCCCGAACCATCGATACGCGAGATGATTCGTCGCGCCGATGAGCCGGCCGCTTTTTGCGGTCCCGATAAGAGTACGCCTCGGCGCAGATGAGCAGGCGGAAGATGAAAAACAGCGGGAAGCCGCATACAGTACCGCACGTCGTCTGGACGATCGCCCCTTTTTGGTTTTAGAGTTTTACGAGACGACCCAGAAAGTCGTTCTCCATGAGTGCCGTTCAAACGCAGCCCCGCACGTCGCCGCCGCCCAGCTCGACAGGAGTTGCAAAACCACAATGAGTGGGCATGCCACCAAGAGATCCAGCATGTATGTACGCCGACATGCTTCTCGACGCCTGCTCTGTCGAGCTGCGCAGTGGGCTGGGCAATCGGTTGTCACGAGATCGTCGTGAGGTTGCGGCTGCGGTGCCGACGATGGCATTCACGCCGCAGATCACCGTCGCTCAACGCCATGGTGATCTGACTGGGTCCCCCAATTTTGGCTTGGTCCGCAGTCCGCAGGAAATGAGGCAGCCGAGGAGGGAGCAAAGGCGCACGACGGCGATCGACGCGTCTGCCAGGCGGCGGCGGTAGGCGAGCTTCGGCTCTGCAGTCTGGCGTGCAGCGAGAGTGCACGTCGTGCTAGCCAGCCGCTCGCTCGCGTCGCTATGGAAGCCTTCGGCGATGCAGTTGGGCGTCGTTGGCGTCGAGCCTGCGCGTGCATGACCACGTCCCGTCGTCGCCAGCTTCCCGTCCGGGCTCTCTTTTCCCGCTCGGATGCTGCAATGCCGTACTGCCAACCTTGGCCGTCACGATCACGATCGACAGTGCATAGCATTCAACCCGCACACGCTGAGGAAACTTCTGGCAATCGCGATCGTCACTCGCTCCGCACACGCACAACGAGCCTGTGTGTTCGGCGATTCCGCCGTCCATGCCGTCGACAATACTCGCAGCTGGACAGAGCTGCTAGGTCGCCGAGACACACTGGGACCGAAATGCTGAACCCCTATTTTTTTGCGCGTTTTGCCCCCCTTTCGCCCGCACGTTTGTGGTGGGAACAAGGTTTGTGCGATCTGAGTCGCGGGATCTACGGCGCATGGTCTGGTCTACATGTGTTGCTGGGGGTCGGTTGCGCACGCGAGGCTTCTCTCCTGCTGTTTTTGGCTTGCATCGCCGTCTGGGCCCCCTACCAGCAAAGCCACCGATCTTTCCACTCGCAACGCAAACTGAGCAGAGACCCTAGCGCTGGTGATCCACTTTGCGACCGGGGGGGGG